TGGGCAGAGAGAAACCTGATGAAATTCAACAAGGGCAAGTGTAGGGTGCTGCATCTGGGGAGGAATAACCCCATGCACCAGTACAGGTTGGGGGCTGACCTCTTGGAGAGCAGCTCTGTGGAGAGGGACCTGGGAGTCCTGGTGGACAACAGGATGACCATGAGCCAGCAATGTGCCCTGGCGGCCAAGAAGGCGAATGGCATCCTGGGGTGCATCAAGAAGAGTGTGGCCAGCAGGTCGAGGGAGGTCATCCTCCCCCTCTACTCTGCCCTGGTGAGGCCGCGTCTGGAGTACTGCATCCAGTTCTGGGCTCCCCAGTTCAAGAAGGACAGGGAACTGTCCTTTGCTGGAGAGGGTCCAGCAAAGGGCAACGAAGATGATTAGGGGATTGGAACATCTCTCCTATGGAGAAAGGCTTAGGGACTTGGGTCTCTTTAGTCTAGAGAAAAGAAGATCGAGGGGGGATCTTATTAATACTTACAAATACTTAATGGGAGGATGCCAGGGGGATGGGAGCAGTCTTTTTTCAGTGGTGCCCAGTGATAGGACGAGGGGTAATGGGCATAAACTTGAACATAGGAAGTTCCATCTTAACATGAGAAGGAACTTCTTTACTTTGAGGGTAGTGGAGCACTGGAACAGGCTGCCCAGAGAGGTGGTGGAGTCTCCCACTCTGGAGACATTCAAAACCCGCCTGGACGCTGTCCTGTGCAACCTGCTGTAGGTGACCCTGCTCTGGCAGGGGGGTTGGACTAGATGATCTCCAGAGGTCCCTTCCAACCCTAACCATTCTGTGATTCTGTGATTCTGTGATCAGGCCCAGTCAGCATGGGGTCATGAAAGGCAGGTCCTGCTTGACAAACCTGATCTCCTCCTATGACAAGGTGACCCGCTTAGTGGATGAGGGAAAGGCTGTGGATGTTGTCTACCTGGACTTTACTAAAGCCTTTGACACTGTTTTGAGAGAAGGGCAATGAAGCTGGTGAGGGGTCTGGAGCACAAGTCTTATGAGGAGCAGCTGAGGGCCCTGGGGGTGTTCAGCCTGGAGAAGAGGAGGCTGAGGGGAGACCTTCTCGCTCTCTACAGCTAACTGAAAGGAGGGGGTAGTGAGGGGGGTCGATCTCTTCTCTCAAGTAACAAGTGATAGGATGAGAGGAAACGGCCTCAAGTTATGCCAGGGGAGGTTCAGGATGGATATTAGGGAAAATTTCTTCACGGAAAATGTTATCAACCACTGGCACAGGCTGCCCAGGGAAGTGGTGGAGTCCCCATCCCTGGAGGGATTTAAAAGACATGTAGACGTGGTGCTGAGGGACATGGTTTAGTGGTAACTTGGCAGTGTTTGGTTGATGGTTGGACTCGATGATCTTAAAGGTCCCTTCCAACCTAGACAATTCTATGATCTTTATTTATTTATTTTTGTTCTCACCAAAGTTTCTCTTCATCATTAGAAAAAAACAACCTCAGAACCTCTAGCACAACATTAAATGGCTTCTCTGCAGGCCTATACAGAAAGCTCATAATGACATGTATGGTCTGAACTGCATGTCTCTGTTGCAAGTGGACGATGGCCTCGAGTTGCTTCTTGCCTACACATCTGCAAGTGTTTCCTCCTAGATTATCCTGTTGCTGTCTAGGATAAGCCTTTTTGAATAGCGCTTAAAGTAGTTTTCAAATAGTCTTTCCTTTAGCTGTGAAAGCTTGCACATATTACAAGTACAGACCAACCATTTGTCATCTTCTGAAAACTTCTAGGATCTTGAAAAGATTTTAAACCAATTCTTTTTCAAAACTACCAACCCCTTTAAGACTTATCACTTCTCTCACACGTTGGTCCAGAGGAGTTCCAGGAATTTAATTCTTAAGTTTCTTTCTCAACATGTTAATTCTACAAACCTGTGCCAGATCTAAGTCAGGGAGACAATTTTGCAATTTAAGTACCTTGTCTAGGAGGCAAGAATGTTAATTTCATTTGTTCTTTTTATGAAGTTCAGTTTAATTTTTTTTTTAAAAAAAAAGCAGATCATTAATATCCAGCAACAATAAAATATGTATTTTTCTATTAATGCATTTGATATTCTTTGCAGGACCATAATGTTCAGGAGAAGTAGTCTTTAAGATTCCATAGATCTCCATAGGCTTTTGGGAGTATTTTCTATTCAGTTTCAATTATGAAGACAACTGGATACAAAATACTTCTGGAGCTGTAAAATTGTGTTTTACCTCTGTTCGTTTTTGCCCTTTCTCTTCTTGGGTTCTCTGGCCTTACTGAATCAAAGGAAACACAATGCAAAATATCTTTGTGTCTTGCCCAGAATGTCCTTTGCTCTGTAATGTTGTCCTGTATTCTTGTATGTTTAATAAGAATTTTAACATTATGTCATTTTTTATGGAATAAATGGTGATTAGCTCAATGAAAAAGCTTAGTAAAGCTTTTTTTCATCACTTGTCGCTTGGGAGATTACTAGTTGAGGCAAAATAGACTCATAGTTGGTCCTAGTTTATAAGCAGCCTTCCCCATTCCTGTCACCTAATTGGTTTTTCCTGGGGTTTCTGTATGTGCTGGAAATGGAATTAGTGACTCTTTGGGCCATCCTATCTGTTTGCTGGATCTGAATCAGCCAACCTCTACAGCTGATGATTGGATGACCTGCCATAGTGTGTAAGCTCTTAGTAGGTATCTCAGTCTTAGAATGTGTCCTTAATGTTTTGTGTAAACATAGTACAGTTGTGAACACTAATTTACCATTGGGTTATAAGTTTATTGAATGACAGCTTCCCATGTTCATGCTTTTGTTTCATAATAAAGAGAAGGTGACTTGAGGTTGATACTCCGTTTAATGGAGGTCAAGTTTTTTACAGTTTTTAGTAAACTTAGAACCTGCCCTGAAGTGTCCGGGCATTATTTCCTTAACTGGAATTACTTTGTGCTTGACTTCTCACATCTGTGCCCTTCAAGGTAGCAGGAAGGAACAATCTGCCTTTGTATTTCAAAACCCTTCAAATACCATTTGTAATTATATGTACTTCCTCTTTTATGCTTGCCAACTCTTAATAAAACAAAAAAATTCTTAACTCCTTAGATCTTTGAGAGGAGTAAAATGAGAAAAAATTGTGTGAAAACTGTGAAGATATATGAGATCTTGTTTCCTTTATTCCTCTTATTCACTTAGGCATTCTGATAACAACCATTGCTTCAAAAGGGGAATTACAGAATTGGCCTGAACTCTTACCAAAGCTTTGCAGCCTGTTGGATTCTGAAGATTACAATACATGTGAGGTAAGGAGACTTATTTTGAAACGGATTATCATCTAAATAATCTCTTCATAGATACTGTGTATATATATGTATAGTATTTTGTGTGTGTGTATATGCATGTGTATATCTTCAGAGAACAGTGGCTGAAATTTGATACTTTTTATTCTACCAGCATTCCATGTTCTTAGTGTTCATTCAAATTAATTTGTTTTCTTTGAATAAAAGCAGAATAAGACTGTAGATGGGTAGTCATAGCTTCTCGAGTGGAACAAGTGGTGTTCCTCAGGGGTTGGTACTGGAACTGGTGCTGTTTAACATCTTTATTGGCAACATGGACAGTGGGATGCTCAGCAAGTTTGCCAATGATACCAAGCTGTGTGGAGCAGTCAACACGCTGGAGGGGAGGGATGCCATCCAGAGGGACCTGGACAGGCTGGAGAGGTGGGCCCAAGCCAACCTCATGCAGTTCAACAAGGCCAAGTGCAAGGTCCTGCACCTGGATCAGGGCAATCCCAAGCTGTCATGGTTTAAGCTGACCTGGCTACTGGGGATGTGGGGCACCCCAGATAGGGCCGACAAATGCTCCCCCCACCTCTCTTCCAAGACAGAAGCAGAGGAGGGAAAAAGAGACTTATGAGTTTAGAAGGAACCAAACTGCTTTAATGTAATATGAATAATAAAAAGAAAAGAAAATAATGAAATATATACAAAACCATATCAAGCTCCCAAGATGACAATCACGACACTGACTGGCACTGGGGCAGTCCCAGGCTGGACTCAGTGACGGATGGGAACTGGATTCCGGATCTGCATTCAGGAT